CTGTAGGCCTAAATAACTTAGACCTAAATAACTTAGACATTTTATTAACTTGTCTTACAGATGCGTCGCGGAGTGGAGGTAAGTTGTAGCTGACTTGCATGACTTCCAGTGTCCTCCTCTTTTGGGAATATATCCGTGGGTGTCCAGCCTGGATATCGCACCCTTGGGCCAAGCGACCACGGGTTGGCGCCGTCTTGCATGGAATTAAGAGCTCTTTGGTGTGTCACTTTCCCACATTCTGTAATCGGATTTGCATGAACAATTATTTCGCTTTCTGCAGAGATTTCCTTGAGTTTGTTTAGTGATGACAAATCACTGTTTTGTTTTGCAGACTTGTGTGTCACGTGATTTTCGTTTTTGCACAGGGACATGCGCATAATCTTATGCACATATGTATACATGGAGTACATGCAGATATTCATATACACAAATACACGAACACAAAACCAAAAATCCATGTCTAAAATTTCATTATCATAGTTGCAAGAGTAAATCGCAAAAAAAGTGTGTCGCGTGTGTTTGATTAAAAGAAAAATATACAAAAAACTGAAACATGATAAATATTACTAGATAATGAAGTAAAATGTCCTGCCCTTTAGGTGGAAGGAGGGGCCTTAGATAGGTAGTGGAGGGGTGGGTGAGTCATGAGTGGGTGGATATGCTTAGATGTGGCGTGAGTGGGTGGATTAGTTATGGGTGAGTGGAAAAAAGACATATGGATACAAGGCTAAGCAAATATGAGGGTAGGTTAGTGGGTAGGCAATACGATGAAGACGTAGATAATGAAAAAAGAGAAAGAACATAATTTGCTGAATGAAGAAATAAGTAAATATGGAAATGGTGAAGAGAGAAAGGGAAAAGAGAAAGGGATAGAAAGGAGAAAACCGGAGAAATCTTTATTTCAGAATGTGACATTTCTCGTCGTCAACAACGACCTGGAAGTGACTGACATCTTGTCTTCCTCTTGCTCACGCCTGGATTTCTCTCCATCATGAATATGAATAAGACATCAGGCAACTCACCGCCCCCCTCCCCCCTCCTGCCCCTACCAGGATCTGAAGGTCACACGCCTGCCCTTGATACGAACATTTGCATCTCAATGTGTCTAAGTTAAGATCGATTCATATCAGGAACCAATACACCTCATAGGATACTGTCGTCTTTATTTGAATTAGCGGCGCAAGGGATTACGTACAGATTTCCTGTTGAAAGATTCAGGGTTGTCAGACTCATTAACTAAGGCTACTCTGATATGATATGAATACATAGTATGTGGTAGAGATAACGTGGCTATAAACATGTCTTAGGAAAGCAATTAGGGAAGTGATTGTTTTTAGGGTTACTTATGCCTTTTAATGCTTTAAGTCTATCTCCATGCTAGCTGAGAACTCTTAAAACCAAACCAGAAACTAAAGTAAACTTTATTTCAGAACCATAAACAATATATATTTCACGCGTAATTTTCAAATACACATCTGCAATGGATGAATATCGTATGAACTACATAATATAAATGTTAAACGTAAAACACATACAGGATGTTTGATTAATTCAAAACAAGAAATGTGATATAAGTAACATTTTCAAAAGAATAAAGGCGTTTCAAATCAAGTAACACACAGACTCGCGCAAACACTTATATGTATATTCATTTATGTGTATGTGTGGATAGATGGACGGAGCTTTTTGCCCATACTCGTTTGTAAATGTGTGTGTTTACATAAACACATTCATACACAGAAAATATCCCCAGAGGTTAGATACTGAAATGTGGCGGGATGAATGCGTAGACTTATTAGGTACATGTACAATCGATAATGGCTACAAGGAAGGGAAAACAGAAAAGAGTAGGGGGTGGGGGGGCAAGGAAAACAAGAAAAGAGAGGTGGGAAAGCAAAGGAAAGAGAGAGAAGAGAGTGAGATAGAGAAAAAGAAGGGAAAAAAAAGTAGCGATGAGAGGGAGAGGGAGATGGGAAGAGGAGCAGGCGGGAAGAGAGGAGGACAAAGGATGTCGCGACGGTACAGGCAGAGGGTCGCCGTGACTCGGTTCTCCAGTGTTTGACAGTGGCCGGGCTTCACTGTGCATAGACGCCTCCCTCTCCCGCAGTCGCTCGTCCTCTCGCCGGGGTTTCGGAAGCGCAGTGTGACAGCAGCGAAGGGGAGTGCTAGTACGACCATAGGACTCGGCGATGTGAGTGGGAGTTGTTAACTAAGCGGTGGTTTTATATAAAGTCCTATTTTGTGTGTCTGTCTCTTCCTTTTTATTATTGGCTTCTTCCCTTTCTCCTTCCCTTTTTCGCTCAATTTACGTGTTTACTTTCTTCCCCCCTCTCTCTATCTCTCACATTCTCTCTCTCTCTCTCTCTATCTCTTGCATTTCTATCTATCTATCTATCTCTCGCATTTCCTCTCTCGCTATCTATCTATCTTGCTATCTCCTCTCTCTCTCTCTCTCTCTCTCTATCTATCTATCTATCTCTCTATCTATCTATCTATCTATCTATCTATCTATCTATCTATCTATCTATCTCTCTTTCTCTCATACTCTCTCTCTCTCTCTCTCTCTCTCTCTCTCTCTCTCTCTCTCTCTCTCTCTCTCTCTCTCTCTCTCTCTCTCTCTCTCTCTCTCTCTCTCTCTCCTCCCCTTACTCTCTCTCTCAGCCCCCCCCCCTCCCTCTCCGTTTGAGACAGACACGCAAACACAGAGCGAAATGGTGGTAGAGAAGCAAAGGGAATCTCTGTAGTAACAAGTACACTGTGTGAAGACTGTGAACAGAATAGCAGCAACAGGTGAAAGCTGAACTTCCCGTCGGCGCGCAACAAATGTCAGGCATGAAACTTTCAGAGAAGCTTGTTCGTGCGTCTGAAGTTAGTAGAGAGGGGGCGAAATAAGAAGGAAAAAATTGGAACCTAGCTAACAGTTTATATCTGAACTGCGTGTTTATTTTGTTCTGTTCGTGTTTACTGTTCATTACTACTTTGTGCTTGTCTTTCGAAGTGACAGTTATGATGGTTTCCTAAACACTGTGGAACCAAGTTACGAAACGAAGAGAAAATATTAGATTAGAGAAGATTAGAAAACTTTAAACCTGGTAGAAAAAATAAACCTGATATAGAATTAGTTTAAAGCCGATGTAAGCCTAATTAAAAGATAAAACCGATGAAGATTAAGCTCTACAGAAATAAACCAAAACTTTGGTTTAAACCTGAAAAAAGATACGATATCGTTCCCAAATTTTAACGGGAAAAAAGAAGAGAAAAGGGAAATTATCCACGTGAGAAGCAGAAAACTAACAGCAAGAAAGAAGCCATAGAACACAGGGAGGAAATAAACACACCAAAGGAAAAAATGTCAAGGAAAAGTAAGTTTACTCGTAGTCTCTAGTCTGTCGTTGAAACGATTTATGGTTGCAGTTAAATGTACAAAGAAAAAAATGTTTTGGTGTTTAAAAGGCAAACATAAATGTAACTAGAACAAAAAAAAGAACACACACACACACACACACACACACACATACACACACACACACACACACACACACACACACACACACACACACACACACTTCTATGTCTGCATATACCTGTGTCCCTATATACATATATGTGCATGTATCAGATTTTTAAAAAGAAATACGAAAATAAAATATTAATAAACAGGATGCTACACGACCACAGAGTAGGTAGATTGGTACGAACGGTAATCAAAGCGTACCTCGGCTGGAGATCCGTCCTGTCCCCCGGAAATGAAAGCTTTTGCTATTTTCTTCTGTACCTGCTCGCCCTTGTAGTAAAAGAAATGGTTTATCAGGAAGAAATTTTCTCACATTTATAGATATGTATGTATATATATGGGTTTGTGTGTATATATATGCATACGTATTTTCATGTTTATAAACACAGGTGTGTATGCGTAATCATATATTTATTCTCATTTGATATGACTTTATTTTTTAAGACATTATATATGCACTCGAACTTTCCTTTATATCATCATACGTTATACTTATACACGTGGACAGCCACATATGCAAGTTAATCATATGTTCGCACAATTAGCTGATACTAAAACAGCATATCCAATTTACACTCATACAGAATCACACAGCTTAAGCTCTAGAATCCCATAGCTTAACTCAAGTTTTTGACTCACATAGCACAACTCAAGCTTTTGAATCACACAGATTAACTCAAGCTTTTGAATCACACAGCTTAACTCAAGCTTTTGAATCACACAGCACAACTCAAGCTTTTGAATCACACAGCTTAACTCAAGCTCTAGAGTCACACAGCTTAATTCAAGCTTCTTCCGCCTCCTGTGCGCAGATAACAACGCTCATGCCTATGTTTTCTCCATTACTTTGCAGGCTATACTAAGCCGCGTTTATATGATTCGTCAAGCGAGGGTTAGTTAGTCACCGCAGCTTCTCGTTCGCTCCTTTGCTGGATACCTTGTTATTTTCTCTTTCGCTCCTTAGCTGGAAACCTTATTCTTTTCACATGAACGCGTTGTGTAGCAAACCCTCGGCGCTATTTTTGGCTGCCTATTGAATTTTCTTTTGGTTTCCTGTTCTATTTTCTTTATTTCTTTTTTTTTTTATACATTCCTTTCTTTTTTTCGACTTCCTCTGGTACAGTTATGAAACCGAGCATACACGACTTTCAATGAATCCCCATTTTGACTGATTTCCCCAGCTCCTCTTTGGTAAATAAGCACAGGTACCTGCATGTACCGCACCCCCCCCCCCCCCATTTCACACACATCGCCGCCGCCCTAAAAGAATGGAAGTTGAAAAGGCGGCTTTTTCCCCTTGAGAAAATAGGGCATCGCCAGGTGGGCCTAATCAACGCTTAGCTCGGTAATTAGTTCATTAATATAACGTATGCTTTCAAGTCCAGTAATTAACGAAGCCCAGATGTTTTGATGGATTTCATTATAAAGACTCTTTAATTAAAGTCTGATAGCTCCCAGGGCGGTTGCCAAGCCGATATCGTAACCG